GGGGGCGTTCTGGAAAGGATACGGGAACGTTGGCTTGCGACTCGGTGCCTGCGTCGGGGAGCTGGCAAGGCCTGGCGCTGTTGGAAGGCCTGGCGCCTGCGTCGGAGAGCTGGAAGACCCCGCAGGACTGGCAAAGCCTGGCTCAAGCGGGATCCCCTCCAGGCCCTCTGGGAGCACGTCGTCTTCCCAGGTACCGTGTCTCGTCAGGCAGCTATTGTAGTAGTCGCGGGCATGCTGTGGAAGGAGCTCCCGGCCCTTGACGGCGTGCAAGAGCACGCGCCACGCCGCCGCGTGATGCCGTTTGGGGGGGTCCTTGAACATCGCTGTCTCAGTGCAAGGGCGCCCCTCCATGTGCTTCATGTGGCTGTTCCGCGTGATCTCGAACTCCAGAGCTACATGAGGCTCGCGGTGAAGGTGGACTTCCAGGTTCTGCTCGAAGACGCGGTCGCCTCGGTTGCCCTGCGAGGTCTTGGAGCTCTTGTCCACGACCTGAGGGTCACCCTCGTAAGCATTCCCGGGGAACCCCATATGGCCTCCACTATGGTTCAAGATAACCAGAGATGGCTCAAGATGGCTCCTCCCAAGGAGGCCCCCGAAGACCCCCGAAATCCCAAATGGCCAACCCAAACGCCGAGTGGCCACAAACATCTTTGGAAGCACAGAGACCTTCAGCACGCCTGGTGCTGCCAGCAAGTTCGTCTTGAACTCCTCCCGAGTCAGCAGGCGCTGAGGATGGAGTTCCACCATGCCCGAAAAGGAAGTGCCCTTGTACTCGTATCGTTGCGCGAGTCTGCGCAAGCCCGCGTAGGGTGCCTCTGTCCCTGGGGCTGGCAAGGCCTGGCCCCGGGACACAGGCAGCGCAGGTCTGAGCATGCGGGCGGCGGCGGCCATGGCCGCGGGACCGGCCAAAGGTCCGCGGGAACTCTCCGAACACAGAACCGTGATGGGCTGCGGTCTGACGGCGTCAACGCCGGCACAGCATACAGCACGGCATGATGATGCAACAAGGCCCCGGGAACGATTCAGGAGTTCCCAAGGGAACCTGCAGGGACGTACCGACGCCGACTCCAACAACGCCGGCATCCTGTCGGCGTATCCTTTTCTATGTCGACGGCCCAACTCCAGGGGCCGACACGCACAAGTTTTTCGATTCGCTTCCAGCTGCGGCGGCGAGCGGGGCCTCCGAGGGCCAGGAAACCTCGACCGAACCTCGGCGCCAACCTCAAAACGGAACCGGAGACCTTCCCAGGGGCCCGCGCCGGCGCCCTGTCGGCGTATCCCTTTTTATGTAGACGGCCGAACTCCACGGGCCCAGACGCCCCAGTTTTTCGATTCGCTTCCGGCCGCGGCGGCGAGCCCGCGCGGCCGCCCGAAGGAGCGGGGCGCGCTCGGAGAGAGCGGCTGGAGAACACCCACTATCATTCCTCCGCCTGCTGGCGTTCCCGCGCTGGTCGCGCGATGGGTCGCATTGTCGGACCAGGGAAAGCGGGTCGCCGTAGCTCCGCGGAGGCGTGGGCGGGCGGGTGGGTCCGAGAATCGCCCGTGGGAGTCTCGTTGCTGAGCTTTGCATCAGCCGCCCGTTGCCCGAGTCGCACCACACTGTGGTCGCAACGGCGTGGTTGTGGGTGGGCGGGCCGAAAACGCCGCCTCACCTGAGGGCCCTTGCCCTGCCTGTGCCTGCAGGCCCTTGCCCACCCGAGGGAGGGGAAGGCCAAGTCGAGGTCCGAGTGTGACCTCCCGCAACGCCCTTGCCTGGGCCTGGGCCCGTGCCCAATCGCAACGTGAATGCAATATGCCAGCAAATGCGCAATGCTAGCCCCCTGCGAATGCACAAGCAAGACGATAACACCATGCTACAATCCGTCATCCCTGTTCGCCGGACTACCCTTTCTCCCCTGACTGTAAGTTCCATTGCCGTGCTATGTTCTCCCACTCGTACAACGCGCGCGCGTTATCCGCGGAGGAGAACACCCACTATCATTCCTCCGCCTGCTGGCGTTCCCGCGCTGGTCGCGCGATGGGTCGTATAGTCAGACCAGGGAAAGCGGGTCGCCGTAGCTCCGCACCCATCGTGAGGCGATCGCTTGTCTGACCCCCATCGTCGCGATCGTCGCGGGACATCCCCGACTGGCTTGGCGGGTTATGAGGCGCGGAAACCAAACCAGGAAGGGATGGACTGGGCTGTCCATGTTTCCTCTCGTTCTTCTCTTTTTCGCCCCTACTCGGAGTCCGAGTGGTCGATCAGCAGCGACAGGGCCGCTGCTTCTTCTACCTGGTGGTCACGCAAATACCGTACAAAGGCCGAACTCGTCCAATCACCTGCCCGGAGCAGCGTCGCTAGACTGCCTCCAGGATCCACTATGTCTCGAGCCATGCCTCTTCTGAGCGCGTGGGTTCCTAACTTGTGTGCGCCCACGATGCCTACATGCTCGGCGTGCTGCCTCAAGCGCTGAAGGAATTGCTGCGCTGACCGCGTGAACACGCGCTGCCGCCCCTGCCGGCGCGCCTCGGCGATGAGCGGCATGAGGTGGCGCACCGCGCACAATAAGCGCCCAGATTGCCGACAGTCTCAGAAAGCAAAAAAACTTGAATGAAAAAAAAAAAAACTAAATTTAAAAAATGGCATAAAATTAAAAAATAAATACAAAACAGAAATAAAAAACAAAAGAGGAAATAAAAACGAAAACAAAGAAAGAAAAAAAAAAAGAGAGAAAAAAGGCAAAAGAACATAAAGGACAACAATATACCGGATATATAGATGTAATCATAAAATAAAAGCAAAAAATAGAATTGACGAAAAAATAGGGAACGATAAAAAAAAATAGTACAGGAAGATTGCATGAAAAGTATATTAAAAGTGAAAAAAGTAAAAAAAGAATTAGAAAAGTAGAGTAATGAAACCTCCTGAACATAAGAGATTAAAAAAGCCATCGCGCCGGACGACCGCAGGGCGCCGGTCCGGCTTCCGCCGGGACAGGGTGATGCTGAATTCGACGCCCTCCAGGGCGATCTGCGAATGCTCCCCGTCGATCTCCAGCGGGATGCACTCCGACGGCATTCGGAACAGACACAACCGACCGACAGCGTAGAGTGCAGCTTGCTCGGGGTCTCCCAACGCCTCTGCGTGAGCGACAAGCTTTCGCGCCTCCCCGGTTTGCAGCGCCAAGCGTTGTCGCGGCTGGTCTGCTTGTTTCGCCTGGCCCCTGCGGACCTGCCTCACCGCATCCGTGTCCCAGTCGCTGCTGAACCGCAGGAATCGGTGCGCCCATCGTAGATTTGTCAAGTATGCTCTCAGAGTGCCGTACTGACGGAACATGGCCGCGTATCGGATGACATCGCCTTCCCTTGCGGGAAAGTGCCGCGCCCGCCCCAGCGCGTCCATGAACGCAGCCCAGCACCGCACCCCGGCAATATAGGACGGCAGTGATCTGCCGATCGCCGCAAGCATGCTCCTCTGCCCTGCTTCGTCGAGAAGAGAGCCATCTCCACCCGTCGCCGCCAGCACGGCCACCGCCTGCCGGGGCGGCAGCCTGTCCGACAAAAGCCGGCCGAGGCCAGCCGACGACATGCGGTCATCAAATGTGCGCCATCCCGTCGCTTGTGCTACGGATGTCTCGCGGTGGAACTCATGCATGGCCTGTGCCACCACCCAGCTCGTGCGTTGTCTCTCTGGGAGGCCCAAGAGTCTCGAAATCCACCAGCCAGAACCAGCGTTCACCGGAGGCACACCTGCAGCTGTAATCGCAAAGGTTTCTGCTCTGTCACCGGGCGGAGAAATCGCCTGCGCCACGTTCTGCAACAAATTGGGCCCCAGTGTCGCAACCCCGTGGCTGCCTGCGTGCCCCCAGCTTGGGGCGCCCGCCAGATACCGCCGTGCGTCTGCATGATTCTGTACACCCCCGTGGGTGAACTGGGCGCTTGCCAACCCGCTCGGCGCCGCAGACGAAGCCGATGTGAAAGGCGGGACGTGCGCTGTGCTGTTGGCACGCCCTCGCGGGCCCAACGCCTCGCGCTCCGCTGGGCAATGTGCGCCTGGCCCTGGCGGGCGCCACTCCCCATGGAGTCTTGCCGCCCAGGCCACTGACGTGAATGGCGGCACTGCACACATACTCGCGAAACTGGTCTCGCGCAAGGGCCCCTGTGAGCCCAACCTGGCTAGAGCCGACGTGGCTACGGTGTGTGTGTGTGTGTGCGAGAGAGGCCGACTGCAACGACACGAACACCAATTCGAAATCGTGTTCACACCCTGCCTCAACTATAACCAATACGCCAACTTCCACTCAGACGAAGCACGACGTAAATCGGGCGCCCCCCGGGGCGCCTAATGTGTAAAGCGACGCAATGAACCTTTTTATCGGCCGGGCTCATACCCTTTGTAACGCCCCCGGTCCGAGTCCAAGTTCATTGTTTCCTCGTTCTTTTTTTTTTGGGGGGGGGGGGCTCTTGGGACCCCCGCAGGGAAAACTCCTGGAAACGTTGTGGGCCGTCTTGGGCGGCGCCCTTTGCCATCAAAGGAATATTTTGGGCGTCCAGGAGCGGCGGTTCGCCGATAGGGGCCCTCCTGGGCCATCCAGGGGGCCACCTGGGGCCCACCAGGCCCATTTCAAACCGACCCGGGTGCTTGAACAGCCGCCCCAGCGCCCCAGCGCCCACTTTTGCGGTTGGGGTTCCGGCCCGGGGGCCCCCTGACTCAGCCCCCCGCTCTATGTATACATGGCCGCAAGCGGGGGAAGAACGCGCGGCCCGAAGGAGGCGACGACGACGCGACCGGTGATTATACCTCTTTTCTCACCTCCGCGGCTTCTGCGCCATGCTGTCAGAATTCATGTAAATACACCCCTCCTGATTATTTACAACACAAGGCGGTGCGCACCAGTGCGCTGAAGCCACGAATCGAGACCTGCGGAAAAATCGGGGAAACTCCAATTGTCCCTTTCCGTCGCTTCCATGCCGCGCAATATATCGAGATCGTCTCTAGAAGGGCCGTCTGCTAAATTGGCCTTGCTGGGCACGTAGTGAACTTGGTGGTCCATGCCCATGACTGCCGCTTCGAACCACAGGCGGCCCGCAATGGCAGCGAGGTCCCTCTTCGATGAAAACCCCTGACGATGCAGGCGAGGGCGGCCGCGTTGTCGACGAAGTGGACGACCCGGCGTTCACGGAGAGTGTCCGGGCACAGCGAACACACTGCAACCACGGCAGCGAGCAGCTCGAAGGCGACAATATTGGTCGCCCGCCCCAACAGCTGTCTCCGAATCGACTTCGGCACTCTGCCCCGGAGGAACTCCACGGCCCCCCTGTCCGCGATGGCGACAGCACCGACACGCCCGTTGCCTTCCGCGTCTGAGTACAGCAACACTGCAGGAGACTGGACCTCCGGCAACAGGGGCGCGGACCGGCAGAGGCCCAGAGAGAGCACCTCCAGGAACCACCGGAGAGCGTGCTGCATCCTCTTCGTGATTGTTGCTGGGCCGCGGGCCTGGCACTGCCGCCATATCAGAGGCCTTAGCAGTGCGCGCCCCAGGCGGTTGAACATCTTCGAATTCAAAAAGTTCAACTTGCCACAGAGCTTGGAGGCCCCGCCTGGGCTGAGGCGTCCGGCCTGCAGTATCTCTTGGATCTCGCGACACCACTGTCTGCGCTTGGCCTCCCCCAAGCGCCAGTGCGCCGTCCAGCTCTGCACGGCCACCACCAAGCCCAGCAACGGTATCTGCGGGGACACCACTGACTTGCCTGGGTCCAGCTCCCAGCCTAACATCAAGTACGCGACCTCGTTGAAGACCTCTGCTATCCATTGGGCTTGGCGCCGTCCGTTGGGCAAAATGACTCTGGTGGCTGCCCAGAACACGTCATCGACGTAGAAAAAGACAGCCAAGAGGAAGATTGACGTCACGATCTGCTGCAGCGCTCTGGCAGTCCTGAACCACCCGGCCACTGCGCCCAGATTGCCGAAAGTGTGAGAAAACAGCGCTGCGGCCTGGTATCTCTCCACCTCTGGATTGAACAGAAGCGACCCGCACATCCATAGATGTTCCTGGGCTGGAGGAAGCGTCTTGAAGGCCGACCGAAAGTCTGTCTTGCCCATGCAGGCATCGAGCTCGAGCCCGGCCTCGCGCGAAACCTCGGCGAGGTGCTGCATACTCTCAAGCATGTGGTCATGCGTGTCGTACCGGAAGGTATGTGGCATCCAAGCGCAATCGTTGACACGATTCCGTCTGAAATTGTGGATCTCCCGCGCCTTCCGGCCCGCGTCGCCCCGGCTCTCCCAGATGCCGAACGATTCCACCAGCAGCACGGCGGACAGATCGAGGTCCTGGACCTCTCGCAGTGGCCCCGTCCTCCCAGCGGCCATGTCTGTCTGGGCCTTCCACCATATCTCTCCGGCTAGCTCTCGTTCGTCGTCAGTGCGGGGGCGGCGAGCCTCGGCGGCCTGCAGAGTTCGCTGGTTTATCTCCGCGCAACTCCCCCGGAGCTCCGGCAGCGGGCACGGCCCGGGCCAACCCGGCCGCCCTCTGCTGCACTTGCCTCCAGGAAGGTCGGTGCCGAGGCCCCCGACCGCGACTACTTCAGTGAGGGGAAACCCATTCATAAGATCCGCGATGTATTCGGTGTCCTCGTGGCCACACTCCTGGAGCATCTCTGCCATCAAAAATGGGCCCAGCCTGCCCAACACGCACCGCTGGCACTCTGGGAGAGAAGCGCGCCACGCCGCAAGCCGCGACTTGCCGACCTCCTTGCGGGCGCGCCACCGCTCGAGCGACGATTGCACGTGCCCGTGCCACGCCAGCGGGTCCTGCACCATTCTCTCAAGAATGCCACGCTGCTCTGGCGCCAAAACCGTTGCCTTTGTCTCTGGTTCAGAGGCAGCCTGCATTGCTTTCACCGCATGGCTTACAGGATCCTCGCACTCCCCCTCTACCTGCAGATGTTCGGAGACGCGGTCGCCGCGCTCCTTTGTCAAACCCCGCGCGGCAGCGCTGCTACCCGCCGCCGGGGCGCCGCCCTCATGGGCGGCTCAGGCGCCGCGCGCCCACGGCGGCGGCGGCTTGCCCTTGCCGCTCTTGCCGCCGCCTTTGGCGTAGCCTTTGCCCCCCTTGGTGGCCCCGGGCGCTGGGCGCCCGTCGCTGCCCCGCGGCTGCTCCGAGTAGTCGTCGTGGAGCCGGCGCGGGCGCGCCTGCTGCCCAACCCGCGGCTGGCCCCGCGGCCACGCCGAAGCCTGCGGGTGCTGCTGCGCGGTCTGCTGCGGCCGCTGTTGCGGCGGTTGCTGCTGCTGCTTCAGTGTGCGGTCCTGCTGGTGGTGCGCCTGCGTCAGGTTCCTGGCCCGCCCCCGCCTGTTCTCGTTCACCTCCACGAGGCAGGATTCTGGCACGCACGCCCCGTCACTGCGACGGCAACGCTCTGCTGTGTCGGCCCACAAGTCGGCCTCCATGGCCCATGCGGTCCGGCACGTGTCCTCGATGGCGACCTGATTCATGTTCAAGAACATCCTCAGGAGGCCCTGCATGGACACCGACTCCTGCTCGCTGGCGGACTGTGCGGTGAGCTGGGCCAAAGCTCTCGACCAGAAGCACGCCACCCACTGAGCATGCGTCATGCTCCTCGTAGTGGGTTTTTCCTTCATCCACTGCGGCGCCCATTTCTCTAAGGGCCCGCGGCAGAGGAAGTAGCGCCTGTTCTCGGGCCTGCCCGCGGCCGCCCTGCGCGCCGCGCGGATCGTGGCCTTCATGCCTTCGTGCTCCCGCGTGTGGCCATGCTCGATCCCGGGGACGCCGTACCTGGTCAGGCAGGCGACGGCGTCAAACTCCCCGTCACCACGTTCATCCCCGTTCTCGCCCGAAGACGAACTCGCGCTGCGGGGGTTCCTCCGGCGCCTCCTGTGCGCCCGCGCCTGGGCTTGCTGACTCGAAGCCACCTTCTGCAAGGAAGCTGCCAACGTTGCGTCGCGGCTGCTCTGGGAGTGCCCTCGGGCATTTTGCTGGGCGCAGACGACGAGCGTGAGCTCGCGAGGCGACGTCTCGGGTTTGAGGACGACCAGAAGAACCTCGTGCGGAGCGCTGGCCACCTGCCAGCCTGCCGACAGGCCCTGCCCTTCCACGAGGCTCGCCGCACGCGCCACTAAGGCGGGCTCTGCGTCCGGGACTTCCCTCGCAAGGAAAGCCCGCGCGGTCTCCACCGCAGGCGAAGCGTAAGCTGGCGCACCAGCTTCGAGCCCGTGCCCTGCTGCATGGCCGCCAGCCGTCACTGGCGCTGGCGGGCCCGGGGGGGACCTGCTGGCCCTTGCCGGACGGCGGGGGCGCCTGGACCTCGACCTGCTGGGGCGACTGCCGCTTCCGGACCTCCTGCTGGCTGGACTCCGCGACGGACTGCGCCGGCGCCGCCGCCCCCGAGACCTGCTTGCGCTGCTCGGCATGCCGAACGTACGTGTAGGTGTTGGCAAAGCTCGACCTGTTTTCGAGCCACACCCGCTACGGAACACAAGAGTGCACCCCCCTTTGGGCGGCGTCGCAGCCGTCGCAACACATTTCCCCCGCTGCGTGTCATCTCCGTGAACGACGCCAGGCCAGGAACAGACCCAACCAGTGATTCGTGCACAGAAGGGAAACTCCGCGCTCAGGCGCCCGGGCTCAGCAAGGAACCCAACCCCAGACCCCAAGACGGTCCGCAAGGACTCCTCCAGCGCAAACAGAGAACAGGAAAGCGTACAAGGAGGGGATTTCCGTCGCTTTCCGCACGTCTCCACGCGTCATATTCCAAATACTTCTGGGCTGGGGCCTGCGCCTGCACTAGTCCCTGCGCCGGGGGACAACACCCCCGAGCCACTTAGACTCCGATCACCTAACACAATGTTCCGTGGAGGCCTGCGTTTGCGAAGACATCACGTGTTCACTGTTTACACCCATGCCCACGCCCGGCGCAGAGGCCCGCGCGGGCCATTCTTACTTCCCCCGATCTCATTTTTTTTTTTGTGGGGGGGACCGCGTTCAACCCGCTTGTGCTGAACAGCCGTGACCCCCCCCTCAGACCGCCTGCTCTCCTAAGACCGCAGTCTGCAGAAAACAATGTTTGGATTCCAACACCCCCAAACAATGCTTACTCCTGCGCCTCAAGCGTTCGCTTGAAGAGACCCTGGCGTACATTACGAAATGGCCAACAGCATAAAAAAACGAACAATCTTCGGATCCGGCGGCAACCTGATGCTCGCGGGCGGGAGCCGCCTGAGCGGTTGAACGCTCTCGCCTGGGTGACGCTGGTCGCCTGCGCCATGCCTCCATCCTTATCTACCTACCAGACTTGATATACCGGAACAGGCCCGTGCCTGCGCCCAAGGGCCCGCGCCCGCAGCAGCTGGGCCCGCGCCCAAGAGGAACCTCCGCGGACGAGAACCCGTGCCCACGCCGCACGCCATGAACCGTGGCCCGTTACAGACCCGTTTGTTGTACTGACGGCTACCGCATATCCACACAGCGGGACCCGCCTGAGCGGCCGCACGCCGGCACCTGGGAGATACGGTCACTGGGCCCGTGCCCGACCGACCAGGAAACCTGAACAGGCCCCAGCCTGCGCAAACGGGCCCGCGCCCACGGCAACCAGGCCCGTGCCTGCACCGCACACCTAAGACGGGGCCCGTGCCCCGCCGCACGCAGTGCGCATGCAACTATACGTTACCACGGCTCCCTGCCGTTGAGGGATCCCGTCGTTTAAATGCACCCTGTGAACGCGGCCAGGGCAGAACCCTACATGCTGAGCCACCAGAATACACGCGTGCCCCGCGGCCACGCCAGCGGGCCCATGCCCCGGAATGGGCCCACGCCCAAGACAGCGCACCCCAGCCGGGGCTTGCGACGTCTCTCAGTTTATGTAGGGTTCGCGCCCTAACCTGAGGTCCGCGGACAAGATCCACGCCTTCGCATTCGGAGTACACATACTGCGACAAGGGCCCTAGACCTAGCCGCTACGCCTGTCTCTCCCGCAGTTTGCTGCACTCAACGACCATGGCCTGCGCCCTGGCTTCTGATGATCGGTTTTGAAAAGCTGCCGGGGAGGAGGGAGGGAGGGAGGGGTTGGAGGGCTCCTCAACTCCTGGGAATGGGGTCGAGAACTCTGACCGTGCGGTGGCACCATCCTGCGGTTTGCGCCATCCCGAGCCCTGCACCAGTCAACGGCTGGGCACCAGCCCAACCTGCACACATTCCACCCCTTGGCAGATCTTGGCGTTCTGACCACGCTGCGCTCGATTACCCGCGGCGTGTGAGCCTCCTCTTCCTCCACCTCACTCGTACATGGGGGGGTAAGAGGGTAAGAGAGGAAGGAGAAGGTTTGTTGAGGTTGGGGGTGGTGCCGCCAAAGCGGTTTTAGGCCTGCGCCTGTTGGGCCATGGCCCAAGATCACTGCATAGCCGGGGCCCGTGCCCTCGCCCATGGGCTTGTGCCCTGCCGGTACCCACGGGCCCGCGCCCAGACCAGAGGGCACGTGCCCTGACCAGAGGGCCCGTGCCCTGACCAGAGGGCCCGTGCCCTGACCAGAGGGCCCGTGCCCTGACGGGAGGGCCTGCGCCCTGACCAGAGGGCCCATGCCCTGACCAAAAGGCCTGTGGCCTGACCAGAAGGCCCGTGCCTTCACCACACCAGCGGGCCCGTGCCCTGACCGGAGGGCCCGCGCCCTGACCAGAGGGCCCGTGCCCTGACGGGAGGGCCTGCGCCCTGACCAGAGGGCCCGTGCCCTGACCAAAGGGCCCGTGCCCTGACCAGAAGGCCCGTGCCTTCACCACACCAGAGGGCCCGTGCCCTGACCAGAGGGCCCGTGCCCTCACCTGAGGGCCCTTGCCCTGCCTGTGCCTGCAGGCCCTTGCCCACCCGAGGGAGGGGAAGGCCAAGTCGAGGTCCGAGTGTGACCTCCCGCAACGCCCTTGCCTGGGCCTGGGCCCGTGCCCAATCGCAACATGAATGCAATATGCCAGCAAATGCGCAATGCTAGAATAAAATGCTAAAAAAGGAAAAGGATAAAAAACAAAGATAAAAATAATATAAAAAGACAAAGATATAAGAAAAGGTAAAGAAGGAGTAAATAAAGCTAAGAAAGAGAAAACAAAAAAAGAAGGCCCCCCCTGCGAATGCACAAGCAAGACGATAACACCATGCTACAATCCGTCATCCCTGCTCGCTGGACTACCCTTTCTCCCCTGACTATAAGTTCCATTACCGTGCTATGTTCTCCCACTCGTACAACGCGCGCGCGCGTTATCCGCGGAGGCAAAGCCTAGCCTGTACTGGTGGGTGCACGGGGCCTCGCCCGCACGCACGGCACGCACGAACACGAAACCGAAATCGATTTCCCGGTAGGGGGGCTCTCCGTTCCACTTCGATCTCACCCCCCAACCTCCGATCACACAATTCCTTTCTCAATCGAACGGTCGTCATCATCATCATCATCATCATCATCATCATCATCATCATCATCACACATCACAATCATCATCATCATCTCTCATCTCATCATCATCATCACCATCATCATCATCATCATCGCCATTATCAACGTATCATCATCACCATCATCATCATCACCATCACATCATCATCATCATCATAATCATCATCACACAACCATCGGACAACCGACGGGACACCGACGGACAGCCACCGGGACACCCGGCGGGACACCGCGCGCCCCGCTCCCGGTGGAAGAATCATTTGTGGCGGGCCGCGCCTCAGCCACGGAGGACAACCACCGGGACCCCGGCGGGACAACGATCGCGGCCCTCGCCCCATTTGAAACGCTGCCGAGGCCGGCCGGGGCGCCTCAGCCACAGGAGACTTTCCTCTCGCCCGCCCACACAGCTTCGCCTCGCCCGCACGCACGGCACGCACGAACACGAAACCGAAATCGATTTCCCGGTAGGGGGGCTCTCCGTTCCACTTCGATCTCACCCCCCAACCTCCGATAGAGAGATATGTGTGTGACTGCACATACACATGCATATGCATTTACATCTACGTATGGATACACATATTCATCGGCAACTACAGATGCAACACATACATATACACATGCATGTACAGATCTACATGCATATTCACACATGCACATACACCTACACCTGCTCTGGTACACATACACATGCCTGTGCGTATGCATATGCAGGTGCGTGCCCACATACACATACGTGCACAGACTCTATGCAAATACGTATGCACATCCATATACACATACACACATTTACTTGCGTATGCGTATATACACATATGTAGATATGCGTCGCTATAATCATATACGCACTGATACCTCCACATATACATGCACATTACATATACATGAGCATCTACATATGCGGGAACATAAGCGTATACATACATGCACGCACATTTGTATACAACCATAGATACATACATACATACATATACATATGCACACACTTACATGTATAACAACATGCATACATGCATACATACATGCATGCATACGTTCATACATACACACATGCATACATACATACATACACACACACGCATGCATACATACAGGCATACATACATATACAGGTACATGTACATATACATATACATTATACACATATGTGCACACCTCCTGCAGTGGCCTCTTGAGCTCAACGTGTCCCACCAGCGCGTCACGGGGCATTCCAGCGTTCCCCATAGCCTCCCAGGGCTTCCTATGCGTGCGTGCGCGCGGCTTCTCCGGGATGTACGGCTGATTGGATCGATGGGCAGGCGGACCCTCGAGCGATTGATGGAATGCGCGCGCGGGAGCACGCTTCAGCGGGCACACAACCCAGAGAAGCCTCTGAAACCACCCAGACTGTCTCGACAGGCACGGGCCCCTCCTCAAGATCCTGCACAGAGCTTCAGCAATCTCCGACCCAACGTAATCGAAAATTCATCCGCATCAAACGCGCGGAAAAGGCAACCCTCCGAGAATATCAGATTACCTCCGCCGCTGCCTCCACCTTTGCCGCCGCAATCGTCGTCGTCGTCCCCGTCGTCCCCGTCAGAGTCGGGAGCACTGACCGTAAGGCCCTTGCAATATCAAACTACCTCTGAAGTCACGGACTTAACCTCACATCCATCGTTGCAAGCGCGCGTGCCTGTGTGCGTGCAAGTATCGCGGTGGCTACATATGCGTTCGTGCACGAGGCGCGGCTTGGGGCGCTCCGAGCATATTCCTATTCATATACTTTTATAAGGCCGGGGGCCCCGGACAGACCCCGGACGGAGACCCCCCCCCAAACGAGTTTCGGATTTCCCCGAGATTTTCGGGCGGTCCCGGAGGCGCCCCAGACGGCCCGAGATACTCCCAAGAGGGGTCCACGAGCGCTCCTAGACAACCCGAGGGCGCTCCAAGAGACCCCGAGACCGCCCAAGACCGTCCAAGGGGGCCCCGAGACGCCCCAAGAGGCCTCCAAGAGGCTTCCCAAGAGGGCCCCAAAGAGG